AGTGGCCTCCCATAGTGACAGAAACAATGGCAAAAGCTACACTTGACACAGCGCAGTGTCTCTTTTTCTTTCTTTTTTTGACTGGGAGAGCTGCTGGAAGAAGGCGAGACTCCAAAGCGGAGAAGTGTGGTGTTTCTAAATCACGAATGTGCCCGCCATTCTCCCGTCAAAAGCCTTCAGCTTATCATCCCAGCAGACTCCAGCCTCCTGACCTATGCGGCCCACTGAGCACAGCCTCACCCATCCCGGCCTCCACCCTGCACCCTCCACCAGGCCCCGGGCACTGGCACACATTGCCAGCTCAGAGCCTGGGCACCTGCTGGTCCTTGTGTGCCCGGCGCTCTCTGTCTTCCCTGCAGCTGTCCTCCACGCCTCCTTCCAGGCCCAGTCCTCCTCACGCCTCCTCCTTTGAGCAGCCCTCTCCAGCCGGGACACACAGCTCTGCCTCCCCTGTCCCCTGTGGACAGGTCTGTCGGTCCCCACCTGTATCCGTAGCACCTAGGCTTACACAAAATGCAAGTTGGCCAGACAGCTGTTGAGTGAACGAGTGAATGAAAGGGAGCATGAGCCGGGCTCGGTGGCTCAGCCTGTCATCCCACGCCTTTGGGAGGCTGAGGTGAGTGGATGGCCTGAGCCCGCGGGTTCGAGACCCGCCTGGGCAGCAAGACCTCATCTCTCCAAGAAATCAAAAAAAATTAGCCAGGCGTGGTCGCACACGCCTGTAATTCCGGCTACTCGGAAGGCTGGGGCGGAAGGATCGCCGGAGCCCAGCAGGTCGAGGCTGCGGTGGCCGGGAGTGGCCGCTGCACTCCAGTCTGGGCGACAGAGTGAGACTCCAGCTCAAAAAAAAAAGGAAGAAAGGGAGCATGAAGGAATAAATGAATGGGTGGACGCACCATCACCATGGCTTGCAGTCATCGACTACCAGGTTGGCCCCGCTGGGCGACCCCAGGAGGAGAGGCGCCCGGCCTTGTGTGCTCTGCCTCGCTGGCACGCGGCAGGCATCCGTCGTGGAATGAGAGTCCATAGACGCATCTCCCGCTAAACCGTCAGCCCCGAAGGCAGAACCCACCGCCCCTGAAGGCAGAGTCCACTGCCCACCCCACCCCCCGCGACCATCCGCTGGCGGGGAGGGACTGATCAGTTACCAGGAGTCTGGACTCACGAGTAACCCGCAGGCACGGGCCCGGGCGTCGGCGCGGGGGCTCAGGGGGCCCTGGGGTCCTGGGGTCTTCCGGCCCTGGGGTCCTGGGCTTTTCCCACGCGCATCTCCGCGGCGGGACCTTCTCCCCAGCCTGCGGCTGGGATTCTCCCGCCACTGGATGGCGCCAACGGCCAAGGCTGGCCAGGCGGGCAGCGCAGAGCCCTGTCTCCCGGGGCACCCCGTCCGCCCCGTCCCAGGGAGACCCGCTCTGCTGCTCGCCTTAATCAGCTCTGGGCCCCCGTCCCGAGCCTCCCTTCGCCTCGGGTTGGAGAGAGGGAGGGAGCGTGACCCCTGAGCCAGGTGCCCACCAAGACGCAGCCCATGCCAGCTCAGCTCAGCGTGTCCATCCAGATGCCCCGTTCTGGACGTCGTGGGGGCGGGGAGGACAGACGGCCGAACCCGAGCAGGGGGAGTCGTGCTTTGCCAGTCTGCCCAGAGCCAGAGCGCCCGCACACCCCTTCGACCCTCCCCACCCCCTTGCCTCCCCGCATGCGAAATGCCCCTTTGATGCCTAGCTGCCCTCAGGGGAGGGGGCATGACTGTATCCATATCCCAGATGCTGACCCTCAGAAAGGTTAAGAGGTGTGTCCAAGGTCACAGGAAGAGAAGCCAGGCCTGTCTCAGGTTGCATGCTTGCTTTTTTTTTTTTTTTTTTTTGAGTTGGAGTCTCATTCAGTCGCCCAGACTGGAGTGCAGTGGCCGCTCCCGGCCACCGCAGCCTCGACCTGCTGGGCTCCGGCGATCCTTCCGCCTCCGCCTTCTGAATAGCTGGAACTACAGGCGCGCGCTACCACCCCGGCTGATTTTTGGATTTATCGTAGAGATGAGGTCTCACCGAGTTGCCCAGGCGAGTCTTGAACCCGCAGGCTCAGGCAATTCACTCACCTCGGCCTCTCAAAGCACGGGATTACGGAGGCTGAGTCACTGAGCCCGGCCACATGCTTTCTTGACATCCAAACTGAGGCCTGAGAAGACAAGTTCCCCGAGATGCCATGTCCCGGCTTTCAGTGACACTGACGCCCCTTTTAGCCAACAGTGCCCTGTCCTTCCATGCCACCAATCGACACTTATGAATCCCTGGTGTTTCAGGCACACAGAGACGCACGGCCTAGACGCTGCCCTTACAAGTTCACATTCTCCTGGGAAAGCAGCGCCTCTGACCCAGCCTGGCAAAGGCAGGGAAGGCTTCCTGGAGGAGACAGCCTCTTTATCGCCTCTGCCAAGAGCACATCCTGACAGAATGGAGTCTCACTGGAAAGGGTTAGCTGGTCCCTACAAAGCTCTGAAGCTTCTAGGGTCACAGCCTGGAAGGAGCAGTCTCTCTCCACAGAATCCAAAAGCGGGGTGTGTATGTGTATGTGTGTGTGTGTGTGTGTGTGTGTGTGTGTGGTTTTACTGATTTGGGAATGTGGGGTGGTTTTTTTGTATCCTGTTGTTGTTTTTGAAGAAATGCAAACTCATCCCCATCTCACCCTGCCCTGGTCCCACAGAATTCACAGATATTAACCTCCAAACACACACAGAAGCGTCATCACTGACTGCATAGCATCTTATGAGAAGGCCGGGCAGGACAGATCAGCGGGTGAGGGTCAAGATAGGCCTCTCGGAGGAAAGGGTCCCAGGTGAAGAAAGGTGTAAGGGTCCTCTGAGCCACAGAAAACCACATCGTGACAGCCTCGAGGCAGGAAAAGGGGTGGATATGGCTGAGCCTGGAAATCAAGCTTCTGGGTGACAAAGGCCTCAAATCAGGGCTTGCCTTTGTGACTTTCAAGAGCCCTTTACTCACTGCATCAATAGTTACTACACTTGACCAGGCATGATGGCTCACATCTGTGAGGCTGAGGCATAGAATTGCTTGAGCCCAGGAGTGTAAGACCAGCCTGGGCAACATAGCAAGACCTTGTCTTTACCAAAAAAAAAAAAAAAAAAAGCTGGGTGTGGTGGCGCATCCCAGCTACATAGGAGACTGAGGCAGGAAGATTGCTTGAACCCAGGAGTTGGAGGCCATGATGAGTTATGATCCTGCCACTGCGCTTCAGCCTAGGAGACAGAGTGAGACCCTGGCTCAAAAGCAACAACAAAAAAGTTATTGCACTTATTTCATGCTGGGCCCAGAACCAAGGCCCAGGCTAATTCAGTACGTTGATTAAACCACCTTTCCTCACCTCTGTTCCTCCCAGCCAAGTATGGAAGAGCAAGCACACTCAGCTGGGCAGAGCGATTCTTGCCCTGGTGTTCAGAGAGCTTCCATATGCCCCCAGGATGCAAAGCATTTTGCAAGGCACTCAAGGCCTCGAGTTATAATAAATCGCCTCTAAAACCTCTCTCTCCCATAAGCTGTGGATTCCTGAAGCTCGGGAAATCTTTGATCGTCAAATGCCTAAAACTTGAGACGATGCATTAGCTCAGCAAACATTTGTCAAGTGAACAAAAGGGCCCAGAGGAGACCAGAGGAAAGGGTGTCCCAGTGAGAAATAAGAGTCTGCTTTGTGTCTGGGCTTTGGCGTGAACTGTGTCACCTTGGGAGTGTCCGTCAGCCTCTAGGGCTCAGTTTCCTCCTCTGTAAAGAGGGAAGAGTCCATCTGAATATCTCAGCGCCTGAGCCCACTGTTCAGAGTGGAAGGCAGATCTGGAGTTCCCACAGAGCGGGCTCGCCTGGTTCCAGATGGAGGGAGCAGCCCCTGCCCTGGCCGCCTCAGAATTCAGGGGTCACCAGTGAGGACCCGGACGGCCTAGGTGTGGGTGGACTGGCTCGAAGCCTGGCTCCAGTCTCCGGCCTCTGAGTCCCCCCACAGTCCTCTGCCTCCATGTCCTCTGGTCTCCTCTGGTAGAAAAAGTGAGGGACCCAGAAGGGACTCAGGGAGACAGCTGGGTGGGACAGCAGGTGACTGGACCCCAGAGAGGCGGGTAGCTTGAAGCCCCTGTCCTCAGACACCTGGGCATGTCCGTATGCCTGCTCTCCAGGGCTGGACAGTTCTTGGGGCCTCAGTTTCCCGTCCTGACTGGTCCATGGTCACGTCTATCCTATTTGCTGGGATAAAGAAGAAGCTGATGGCTGGGGGATAGGAATGGGGATCCCGGGGAGGGGTGGCGGAGTGGGGTGTGTGACGGGGGTGGGGCGCGATCATTGCCCTGAGCGCAAAAAGAGACTCACCTGGGCAGGGCTTGCTGTGACAGGAAGCACGGCTCACCTCCCCATACCCCGAGACCAACTGCCCGGAGCTACAGAGCCGCACACCCACTGCGATGCCAACAGCCCCTTCCTGATGTTCAGACGAGAGAGAGAAATAGTAGGGATAAGTCAGCTGGTGGACAAGGGTGCTGGAGAGTCGTCCTCTGACTCTGTGACATCCTGAGAGCTCTCCGCAGAGACAGAGGGTGGCTCTGCAGGGCGTGGCAGAAGAGCCACCAAATGCATGCCACGCTGCAGCCCCGTGGCTCACAGTAGGCTTCCAACAAGGAGGCCTGCAGCTCCCTCTTCTGTCACATGAGGTCACTCACTCACCTCGGGAGCTGCAGGGACCAGGTGGGAGGAAGGAGGAGAGAAAGAAGCCGGAGGGAGCCCAGGGCTCACCGCTGACCAGCCGAGGGACTCGGGTGACTTGCGTAACTTATCTGACCTTGGAGGTCCTTTGTGCTCTCTGTCCTATTTGATGGTTGACTATCAAAACTTAGACGTACAAAACAATTGTAGGCCAACCTTTTGGACACCATGGGGACGGAAAGGTGACCGTGACGCCTTTGGGCTTTGACACCCCGCCTTGGCAGCCCCCTCACCTGTGCCCTTTCTCTGCAGGCCCTCTCTCCAGCCCCCATGACCATGGCCTCGACCCCAGCTCCACTGGAGGACACGTCCTCACGCCCCCAGTTCTGCAAGTGGCCGTGCGAGTGCCCGCCATCTCCACCCCGCTGCCCGCTGGGGGTCAGCTTCATCACAGATGGCTGCGAGTGCTGTAAAATGTGCGCCCAGCAGCTGGGGGACAACTGTACGGAGGCCGCCATCTGTGACCCCCACCGGGGCCTCTACTGCGACTACAGCGGGGACCGCCCGAGGTACGCAATAGGAGTGTGTGCACGTAAGTGAGACCCTCCGTCCCGCACCTTCCAGCCGGCCCCCGGCCCCCAGCTCTGGCCCACGGCCTGTCTCCCCTGGCATGCCCTGGCCAGGCTTCTGTTTGGAAGGGGGCACCTCCCGCCCCAGGACCTGGCTAGAGGTTAGAGGCTGTGCCCTTCCTAGGAAGAGAGAGTCCCGTGTTCCTCTTGCCTCCAGAATCTCACTTCTTGCTTTTTATTCTGTCCTGGAGACACACTCATGGCTGTCCCCAAGGCTGATGGAGGACCAGAAAAGACCTAAGCCTGGACCCTTTCAGGGATGCCCACAGCCTCTCAGGAAACACAAGGGCACCACAGAGTTCTAGACACCTTAGTAACATTATAAATTAAAATAATACGGTTTTAAAATTCCAGTAGCCTTGAAAGAATAAAAAACAGCAGCCTGCAAACTGTCCTTTCCTACCAGGCAACTACGTTCCTCCAGTTACTATCTTCTTAGCCCTTTCTTTTGATTGTTACTACTAAATAATACATGTCTTCTGCTAATCTCAGTTGGATAGACACACACATTTTGGATAGCCTGTTAATATGTCTGTATGATAGCTGATAACAGCTCCTTCATACCACCCAATATCTCTTCTATTTTCCAAATATCATTGTCATGATTTTTGGCTAAACAACTATCAGTATTTGTAATACTATGATTATGGAAATATTGTTCACTGCAGCATGAGATAGTGTACTTATTTGAATTTCCTTTCTTATGCCTTTTATTTATACTGGAGTTTCTAATTGCCTTTGGTTTTTCTTTAGTCTTGGTCTTATAATATCCTCGTGTTTGAAGGGAAGGTTGTTGTTTGTTTGCTCTTCAAGTGCTCCATCACAGGTATTCTGGGGTTTTTTGTTGTTGTTATTGTTCCTTTATGGGACTTTCTGACCTCCTGCTTCTATCTGGACTTACATCCCCTTACCTTTAATCATATAAGCATTACCCAAAATACATGACCCAGCATGATAAACAGAGATGACAAAGCATTATTACACAAACAGCCTAACTTCTAAAAGCCTCCACAGTCTCATAAATCCAAAAACTTTATTGTTGCCTCAGTGCTGAATCAAGCCTTTCTCATAACCATGACCTCCTATGTACGCCATTAAATATTCACACCCAACACAGTCTCTCATCCTCAGCTAATCCACTGTATTTCTGAGGTGGGTTGTTGATGAGGATCATGTACGTAATTTCCAGTCAATTTCATTTAGACTTCATGGTTAATATATGACACTTTCTTCTTTTTGCATTATTGGTTTGTGCTTCAAATTTCACACCAACTCCTATGTCCTTGGCTTTGCAAGTAACCACCTCACCTCCTCTCATCTTTCCAGTTTTTCTTCTCTTACTGAGATTCATGATTAGCCACACAAAACAGTGTGTTCAAAGTGATCTTGCAGTATCACCTACACAAAACCACCCATGCATTGGTTAAAGATGTTATTCCTTAGCCTCTGCCCAGACCTGTTGAATCAGGTGCTATAGACGTGGGGGTGGGAGTCTAGACCTTTCATAAGACTCCCAGGTAATTCCCCTCCATGCTGAAGTTCAAGAGTGGCTGCTAATACACAGTCAGTCTTCTGCCCTCTCCCAATAACCCAGGTAGGAACACCTGGCCTGGCCTGCATGCACAGCCCCCTCCAATTATAGGGGCTGTCTCATAATCTCTTTCTTCTTTTAATACTGCTCTTTGAGGTCATTAAAGAGATCATTTCGTTCACTGCAATTCTGTGAATCTCTAAAGCTGTATTGAGCTCTTTAGAGAATGAGGCTGCACACTTTTTTTTTTTTGAGTTGGAGTCTCACTCCGTCACCCAGACTGGAGTGCAGTGGCCACTCCCGGCCACCGCAGCCTCGACCTGCTGGGCTCCAGCGATCCTTCCGCCTCAGCCTTCCAAGGAGCTGGAACTACAGGCACGTGCCACCATGCCCGGCTAATTTTTTGATTTATTGCAGAGATGAGGTCTCGCCAAGTTGCCCAGGTGGGTCTCGAACCCGCGGGCTCAGGCAATCCACTCACCTCAGCCTCCCAAGGTGTGGGATTACAGGCTGGGCAGCACACTTTTACAGACATTCTCTCAAGGATCCAGAGGTTGGTGGGCCCAGAAACTGCCTCCCCATCAGGTCCTGGAAAACCACCTTTGCAGTCCCCCACCCTCTTCCACTCTCATCTTTGTCTTGCCCTTCACCCACTCCAGCCTCTTGGCTTCCCTTTGTGTATTACCTTGCCTTCTATTTGGAAAAACAAAGCCGTGGTCCAGGGAGACTGCAGTAGAACTTACACTAACCAAGGGTCCCTCCGTCACGGAGGTTTGCAAACACTGAGATCAATAAAATGAAACAGGAGTTGCAAAGGCTTCAAGTGTGCATGTCCATTGTCAAGTTCCAAGAGTGCCATCCTAAGCTTCCTCATAAGCTTTTTTCTTTTTCAAACATATTTGGACACTGAACGCTCTTGTCCAGGTGGAGTCTCACCCACTTATCTTGCCACCCACACTCACACATACATACGTCACTTGCACACAGGAGCACACACACAAGCACACATCTCATTAGTGCTCTACTGAGTTTGTGCCCAGAAAATGCTGCCATCTGAGTTCATGAGCCCCTCGTGCAGAAAAAAAGAGAGTCCAAGGGTCTCTCTGGGCCAGAGAAGAGAAAGAATCCCTTTAATAGACAGTCTTTCAGAAAATGGTCAGCTCAGTCAATGGCCAGCCCCTAGAACATGACCAAATCTGTCCTTGATGATTTACATGTAATAGGCCAGTGGCTCACACCTGTAATCCCAGCACTTTGGGAGGCCTAGGCAGGAGGATTACTTGAGCACAGGACTGCTCAAGGCCAGCCTGGGAGACATAGTGAGACCTCAACTCTACAAAAAAATTTTTTAAAATGGCTGGACATGGTGGCATGTGCCTGTAGTCCCAGCTACTCAGGAGGCTGAGGCAGGGGGATCTCCTGAGCCCAAGAGGTCAAGGCTGCGGTGAGCCATGATCATGCCACTGCATTCCAGCCTAAGTGACTGAATGAAACTTCGACTCAAAAAAAAAAATGTGTGCAATTAGGCCAGGACAAGGCAAGCAATAAAAACAAACAATTGCAATCCTGGAACATAAACTCAAACAGCGGATAGTGAAAAACAGAAAGCTGGTGATTGCAGGCTTCGGTTCTCAAAGATCGCCCTGGTGGGCCCAGCTACTGTGGCCAGGCAGGAAAAAGCTAGCTCTCACTCAGAATGCTCAGCTTTCAAAAGGATCCAGAAATTCAGATTCGTGTATGATTTGTAAATGTTGACAACACATTCAAGCATCTTTTAAAAATACCCTGTGGGCCAAGTTAAACACTCTGTGGGCAGAGGGTGACCCCCGAATAGACGGGTTGGCTATTTTGGGTGTCCAAACAGTCCTCTACGTCTCATGCAGCTGGGTCAGGTCTGAGGGCAGTGTGGTTTGGTGGAAGGATTGTGATATTTACAGGCAGGCGGACTGGGGTTTTAAAGCCTGGCTCTCCCACTTCTTAGCTACGTGACTATGGGCACATTGCTTAAGCAGCTCCATGCAGCCAACTCCCGTCGTTGAGGAATAAATAAGGATATGCAAAAAGAAAAAAAAGGGCTCAGCCGCTCCTGGCTTTTGTCTGATTCTCTTGATTCTAACCTTTTGTTGCAGTGGTCAGGTCCTCCAAGTCTTACCCATGGTCATCCTCCGGGGATGGCAGGGGGAGGGCCAGGTCCTATTCCAGGCCTAGACTCCCACCCCCTTCTGAAGAGAGAAGAGAAAGAATAAAGAGTCAGCGAGTATTAACTCACGCATGGTCCTCGGCCCTAGACACCTGAGTTCAAATCCCAGTGGCCTCGCTAACTAGTACTATGACGTTAGGTAAGCTGCTTAGCCCTTTAAGTCTCGGTTCCCTCATCAGGGACAGATGACCCAGACGCTGTTAAGTGCCTGATACATGCTAGGAGCCCAGTAAAGATTAGGGACCCCGTCACCCACTCTTCACTCTCACTAGGAACGCAGGTGAGTGACAGCACAAAAATGGAGTCACCACGAGGCGGTCCATTGCGGTGTCGGTGAGGGGAGAGAAGGGCCCGATGGCAGTGCAAGGTGACTTGAGTTCCTGGAAGTGCTGTGAGAAGAGGGAAGACTGGAGACTTGGAAGTCAGGGATTAGCTAGGAGGGGGTAGGGGAGGTGTGCCTGGCTTCGCCATCTCACCAGGAGCCCTTCCATTGATTAGAAAGAGCTCGAAGGAGGAGGGCACCCTCAGGTAATCTGCGGATGGGACCATTCTCGGCGGCCGCATGTCCTGCCAGCCTGAGGTGGCAGCTGGTCACCAGCCCAGCGCCGCCCACTTCCTCACCTGGAGCTCGGAGGAGACGAGCATCTTTCAGACACCGCAGTTCTCAACTTCGGCTGCAAGGTTGCCTCACCAGGGAGCTTTAAAGAATATGAGGTCAAAAAGAAAAATTCAGAGACTCAGGTCCCCTTCCAGGTGCCGAGGCGTGATGTGGGCGTCAGATGTCATTAAAGCTCCCCTGAGCAGCTCATGGGAGGAACCACTGTGCCAGGACCCAGGCACTCAGCATTGGCTCCTCCCATCAGAGTCTCCACCCAGAAAGGCAGAGTCCTGGACTTAGCTCATGCCCCTGTCCCCCACCACGCAACACACACACACACACACACACACACACCCCATCCTGGAGAGAGGGTGCGGCAGTGACTCAGAAAGTCAAGATGCGGGATCCACTCGGCGCGTCCTCTGCCTTTTTCTTCCTTCCTCTTTTCCCTTCTTTTCTGGTGTCTGGCAGAAGAAAACGGGTCGATGAGTCATGGAGGCAGATCCCCTGGGTTTCAGTCCCAGTTCTGTCACTCACCAGTTCTGTGACCCTGAACCAGTTCATCTTTTCACCTCTCTGGGCGTTCCCGTCTACCAAATGCGGAAAACAAAACTCTCGGCGTGAAGTCACTGGTGAATGGAGTGAGAAGACAGAGACGGAGCCTGGCCAAGATCAGCACACATCCACATCCTGCCCTCTGCGTCCCCGCCCGGACAGCCACACCCAGAAAGAGCAGCTAACCACAGCGAGATTCACGACTGAGGTGCGTCCTGCTGTGGTCACCTTGGACTTGCAACGTCACCTGGCAGAGACTCGGTTCTGCTGTATATAAAAATGAAGTTGATCCCATCATCGTGTTTCCTTATAGAATGAGATAAATAATGCAGCTGGGTGCAGTGGCTCATGCCTGTGATCCCAGCACTTTGGGAGGCCAAGGCAGGAGGATCACTTGCGGCTAGGGGCTCGAGACCAGCCTGGACAACACAGCAAGATCCTGTCTCTATATAAAGATTTAATTTTTTAAAATAAGTAAGGCAATAAGCATTAGACCCAGTGTCCAACAATAGGAACTAGTACTTAGAAAACCTTCACTCCTGCTAGATATTATTAGGATTGTTATTATTAATAACCACCTCCAGGCAAACTACAGAATAGGAGACAGCTACTGGCCCACTGATGGTCCCCAGCTGCACCTCCTTGGGTGGGCAATCTTGTTGTTCCGGGGTGCTCTGCCTGCATTTCCAGAAGCGGGTCCTGGCAGTGCTCCTTCCAAAGCGATCCAGAAGCTGGGCCCTTCTCCCCACGACTGTGGGCCCTTTCTCTCTTGCTGGGTTATGGGGGTGGTCCCTTATGCCACCCTTGCCCTCTTCAGTCTGTTCACCACTCGGCACCATGTAAAGCAGCTTTCATATCATTCCTTCAACAGTTATTTATTGAGCACCTACTGTGTGCCAGGCACAGAGCACCTACTGTGTGCCGGGCACGGTGCTCTAACAGCTTTGCTCCTTCCTCTGAGCCCTTCCCAGGCCCCTCCGGCAGCCCAGGTCTACTTCCACCTTAAGCCTTTATACCTCAGGTAGGGCTCCTCCCTTACCTGGAAGGCTCCTCCCCTAGCCAACACCTAGGACAGGCCGATTCTTTCTCTCCTTCTGGTCTTTGCTGAAGCCCTGTGACTTCCTCAGGGAGGCCCTCCCGGCCCACCCCATTTAAATGTGCCGCTGTCTGGCTCCTCCCAGCTCCCTCTCCCTGCTCCACTTTTCTCCCAGACACCTGTCACCCTCAATGCTCACCATCGTTAGGATGGATCTGTCTTCCCCTTCTATCCCCTCAAGGGCATGTCCCTAGCACCTGGAAGTCTGTATAAGCACAGCCGCCCATGAAGGGAGCAGGTGTTTCGAAGTGCTTGTTGTACATACTTGTGTCTTCAGACAGGTGAGCCCTAGTGACAGGTCCTCCTCCGTGCCAGGCCGTGCGGAGGACACTGCGGGGAGCAAGCCACCTGCGTCCCCGGCCTTGGGAAGCTGGATCCTTTCACTGCTGTGGCCAGCCCAGGCCCCTGGCATGGCCCAGATGGGCCTGGCGCTGGGGTTCCCCCATAAGTGCCAGCTGAAGCTCACATGAATTTCCGCAGTCGACGCTGGAGTCCCCTCACACGCCCCACGCCCTCGCCCTCCGCCGCGCCTCCTCCATGTTGGAAGCCAGAGGCAGCCCTCAAACCCGGGGGGCCCCGAAACCGCGAGGCCTGACCCGCTCCTGTGTTCGCAGAGGTGGTCGGCGTGGGCTGTGTCCTGGACGGGGTGCGCTACAGCAATGGCCAGTCCTTCCAGCCCAGCTGCAAGTACAACTGCACGTGCGTGGACGGCGCGGTGGGCTGCACGCCGCTGTGCCTCCGCGCGCGCCCCCCGAGCCTCTGGTGCCGCCGTCCCCGGCGGGTGAGCGTGCCCGGCCGCTGCTGTGACCAGTGGGTGTGCGAGGACGACGCCGGGAGGCCACGCAAGCCCGCAGCGCGCGACACGGGCGCCCTCGGTGGGTGCGGGCCTGGGGACGGGGCTTGGGGTGTGGGCCCCGGGGGGGACGGGGCCCGCGACTGGAGTGCCCGAGTCCATTCCCTGGCCACCATTCACCAGCTGTGTGACCTTGAGAAAATATCTCAAGTTCCCCATCTGTCAAATGGACACAAGGCCACAAGTCCCGCCTGTCTCACAGGATCCTCCTAGCATAGAGTGAGGAGTGCTTTGTCAAGAACCGCATGGGCAATCTGTTATTATCCTACTGAAGAGTATGGGGTGCACGAATGGAGGAAGGGTAGAGGTGTGGGTACCTGGGGAGGGGAGGCGTGAGCAGAGGAGGCAGGTCTAGTAGAGGCTTCATGATGACTTGAGGCTTTCCCCTTGCTGTGGAGGGAGGGTGGCCAGGTGAGGCTTCTGCCAGGTCAACCAGAGAAGAGGAAGCTGTGGAAAAGTAAAAAGGGGCGAATCTTTGGCTTCGCTGTGGCTGACTGGAGACTAGCCCCGTGCCAGACACTTAGCAGCTACCTAATTCATGTTTGTCGTACTGGTAGACGAACGGATGGAGGGAGAGATGGCTGGATGAATAGATGAACAGACGGATGATAAACGGATGATGTAGAGATGATGGGTGGATGATGGAAGGACAATGGACGGCTGACAGGAGGATGATGGGCAGATGCTGGATAGATGGGTAGGTGAATAGATACAGGGGTACATGGACAGATGGACAGGGTTGGAGGATGGACGATGATGGATGGACGGTGGATGACAGGTGACGGGAAGTGGATAGATGGACAGACGGATGGATGAATACTTAAAGGGATAAAAGGGTGAGCGATGGATTGAGGATGCGTGGGTGGAGGGAGGGATGATGTATGGATGACGGATAGATGGACGGATGGATGAATAGACAGAGGGACAAAAGGCTGGGTCTTGGACAGATGTATAGGTGACGGGATAGATGGATAGATGGCCGATGGCTCATGATGGATGGGTGAAAGATAGATAAACAGATAAAAAAATGGGTAGTGGACGGATGGTGAGTGGATGGAGAGAGGGAGGATATGTGGATGATGGAGGGTTGAATGAGTAGATAGGTGGAGAAGTGGATAGAAGTATGAATGACAGATGGCGGATGGAGAGTGAATGGATGGATAGGTGAATAGCTATACGGATAAAGGGATGGATGGAGGATGGACGGATGCTGAATGATGATGGATAATGCACCGATGGAAAGATGGATGGATCGATCAGATAGACCGATCGATAGACGGAGAGATAGGGTGGATAGATTAAAGGATGGATGATGGAAGGATAATGGACGGGTGGATGGAGGAGGGGAGGGTTGGATGAATAGAAAGATGGATAAATTGATGGATGTATCAAGGATGGATGACGGATTATGAATGGATGACAGATGGATATGAACAAATGAATGGATGGATGGAGGGATAATGAATAGATACACAGATGGATGGATGGGTGATAGGTGGGTGATGGGTGGATAAGCTGGTGAGAATCTGGACTAGGGCAGTGGAGGTAGAGGCGGTGAGGAAGGGTCAGATGCCAGAGGCATTACTGGAGTGAGACTGAAGGTCTTGGTGTCAATCCAGTGTGTGGGGCGTGGAGAAAAAGGAATGGAGGAGGTCACCTGGGCTCATCACTGCCTGGAGTAGAGTGCAAGGGAAGGCGCGTGCATGGGGAGAGGAGCTCTGCTTTGTTTGCAACCCACTGAGTTTGAGGCCGGGCACCTTGCCCACAGGGTCATGAAGAGGGGTGGTCAGTGGAGGCAGCATTGGAGAGGGAAGTGGGCAGAGTGCTTGGAAGTCATCTGCTTGGAGCTGCCGGTGGTGGCTGGGGTGGCCTGGGGGTAATACACAGAGTGAGACAGAGGGGGCCTGGGCGGAGGTCTGGGGAAGTTGACATTTGAAGAGTGGCCAGAAGAGGAGGCGAGAGGGAGACAGAGAGGAGGGCCAGGATGTGAGAAGAAAACCAGGTGCATCTGATGCCGGGTGGCAGCGATGTGGACATTTCTGGAGGCGGGTGTCTACCAGACAAGCAGCCAGGAAGGAGTGAAGAAATGGTCAGAGTTTGGGAGTATGAGGGTACTGGTCATATTTTAAAAGTTATAAGTGTGTGCGACTGCCCAGGGACTGCCCAGTGTAAGGAGAATTTCTCAGCCCCAGCACTCCCAGCATCTTGGCCGGACAGTTCCTTGTGCAGAAGGCTGCCATGTGTGTTGGAGGATGCCAACAGCCTCCCTGGCCTCTACCTACTGGATGCCAGGGCACCCCTCTTCCCGGAGTTGGGACAGCCGAGCACACCTCCAGACACTGCCAAACGTGCCCTGGGGGACACAATTCCCAGGTGGAGACGCAGTCTTCTGTGGACGGGCGGAAGCAGCTTGATCCACAGCAGGCCCAGGGCAGCCACCACCGCCGCCCCCTCAGCGGGGCCACACCAGGGTCACGGGGGGAGCAGGGAGGCGGAGGCTGTCTGCCCATTGTGTGTGGCCCAGTGACCCCGCTCTGACCGAGCAAAGCAGAGCCCCTGCCTAGCCCAGACGACCCAGAAACCAAAGCCCTTTTATCCTCCTAGGCAAATCCCTCCCGCCGCCTCCCAAGATGCTTGCAGCCCCAGCTCCTCCCAGCCCTGCCGCAGCTGTCCCTGGCCACCTCCCTTTCTTCCCTCTGTCTTGCAAGTCTTGCCCTGTGCCACGCGTGGATTCCCGTGTCCTTTCGCCCATGTTCCCTGCACACCCGTTAGCTTGGAGGGCCGATTAGGGACGCTTGCCGACGCGTTCTTGTTCTCCTTCTGGTCCTAGTTCTAGGTCTGGTCTCTCCTGGGTTTCTGGCTTTTCCCATTTCTTCCCTCCCCACCTTCTCTCTCTACCTCTTCCTGTCTCCCCCACCTTCTGGCCTTCTCTCTCTCTCTCCCTCTCTCTCTCTGCTTCTACCATCCTTCTCCCCTTCTCTGTCCCCTCTCTTCTCTGTCCTTCATCTGTCTTCCCAACCCTCCCCGCTCTGCTCTTCCTTTCTCTCTGGCTTCTTGAGCTCTTAGGTCTGCCGAGACCAGCCTCCTCTTGAGACCTTCCTCTTGCGTCTTGTTCCATCTCTCTGCCTTTTCCATTTTCCACCTCGAGAGCACTACCGTCTTCCATTGCCCTAGTCACTGGGTACCCGTCGTGTTCTAGACGCCAGGACACACGCGTGGGGAGAGCCACTCAAGAGTGGGCAGTCGAGTTGCCACAAGTCAAGTGAACACACACACTCACATCGACCGAGGGCTTTGCTTATGAGGGGCCGGGGACAGCTTGGGTGCCTTTCTGGCCACAGCCCTGGACAGAGACGACGGTGGTGAGCCCTTTTGCAGGTGGAAGACAGAAGTGGCGGAGGTGGGAGCTAGCTTTTTGGGAGTCACATAGCGCGCAAGTAGAAGTGCTACCAACCGGGCCCTAGTAATTGGACTCTGAAGTCTGTATACCCTCTTAACCACGACGCCCTTGGCATCACTGAGACAGAAAGTTAGGTACGAGGATGTGGGTGTTTACCTTTGAATTTCCTACAAACAAACATCACATCATCCCTGAAGAGACAGGGACAGTGTCTTTGGAACCTCCTTGCCTAATGCCTAGCAAGGTGCTTGATATATACTCCATCAAAATCTAGTCTCTAACGGTCCAGAAAGACTCGCAAGCAGATATTATTTCCTAATGAAGAGAGGTGGCCAGGGTGGGTTATCTCAGATCACACAGCCTGTAGGTGATAGGGCAGGATTTGAACTTGTATCCACCTGTCTCTGAGATGGCTGCCTTCTATGCGTCCTGCTGCCTCTCTTGATCAAAAAAATATAAGGACCTCAGAACACGTCCTCTGCTCCCTGGGTACCTGTGCTTAGAAGCCACCTTGCTCTCCTGAGAGGTGGGACAGTCGACATCTCTCTCCCTCACCCCCAAGTTGTGGGGACCCCAAATCTTAGTGTGGTGATGGTGAGGCTGAGGACTCATTGGGAATCTGGTTCCCACTTGCAGCGGCAACGGGTGAGGTGGAGCCGTGGCATGGGAACTGCATAGCCCACACCAGCCCCTGGAGCCCCTGTTCCACCAGCTGTGGCCTGGGGGTCTCCACTCGGATCTCCAACGCCAATATCCGGTGCTGGCCTGAGCAGGAGAGCCGCCTCTGTCACCTGCGGCCATGTGACGTGGACATCCATCCGCTCATCAAGGTGGGTCTGGGGCTGAGGCAGGCGTCTGGCCTTCACAGGCAGACAGGCCTGGCTTGAGCCTGGCTCCTGGACTTCCCTGTGGGGGCTATTTTTCAATGGGAAGAGTTAGGCCCACCTGGCAGGTATGGAGTAAAGTTATTTGGGATAATGTGTGTCACCAGGCTGGTGCATTGCAAATTTGACTCAATGGAAGCTTTGGTGGTTACCATATTATTAGAGTCAAGGTCATGTGAGCAGGACCCAGAGACCTTCAGACGTGCTCTTCTCATGATTCTGAGGGGCAGGGCCTTCACTGACTTCCATCTTCCCTCTCCTCCCATGCCAGCCCACACACCTGCCTGCACTGGCCCATATATCCAGCATGCTGGCTGACATGTGGAGCACCTAACGGAACTCAGGACCCCTAGAGTCGAATGCCTGCCTGCCATTAACTACATGTGACTGTGGCCAGTCTGCTCCCAACTCTGAACCCCTGCTCCCTCATCATTAAGACAGCGAAGGTGATCCCTGAAATCGCTTTCACTTTGAGGGTCTAAAATAATTAATAAAAAGCATCAGAAAAATATTGGACCACAGCAGGCTGAGAAGTGGATCATATTTGCCTAACTCAAGTCCTGCTGGGGACTGGTCAGGCTGTTGTCACATCTAAAATAAAGCAAACAAAACAGAAAACTCAACACTGATTCCATTCTTGGCGCACAGGTGGTTTCTTGGGGACACGGAGGAGAAGGCTGCCCAGTAGACGAGACAGCCCACCTTCCCACAGTCCTCTTCAGACTTCCAACGTCATTTCTTCTTTTCCGGGCAGCTTCTCCAATCAGCTCTTTGTCAGCCAATTGAATTCATCCTTTCTGTTTCTCTCCTTCTTCTCCTCTTCTCTGTTCTTCTTCTTTCTCTTTGATTACTTTTCCTTGGGATACTAGCCTTTGAGTTCTCTGTACCTGGTACACAGTAGGTTCTCAGTAGATATCCCTTAACTGAAATACATACATGGAGAATGTTCCAACAGCAGGAGAGATGGGAGCCAAGGTCCCCAACTGGGTGAGAAGGATCTATCACAAAGCCATGCAAGTCCCTCACAGTCGGAGCACGGTCCCACCCAATTTTGTTTCCATAATTATGTGCCCTTAAAGTGTTGCCCAAAGTGTATAAGCATCACGACCCCACAGAGCCTGGATCTAGCGTGGTGTTGGTACTTAGGAAACCCCAAGAATCCTCAGCCAGTGAGTTTAGTAAGTACTGGCTATGTTTCAGGCATGTAGTTATACTAGAGACACAGAAAGGACACCAAGTCTCAAGTAGCCCACAGCCCAGTGGGAGGACAGAGCTACCATCAAAGCATGTCTATCCAGTTCAATAAGTAACATGGTGAGGGTATGTGTGAGCCGTGGGAGGCAGAGGTCAAGGCAAAGCCTTCCTCCCAAATGTGGAGTCTCCATGTCGGTTCTGCCACCAGCTAGCCCAGGTGAGCTTGGTTGGCTGAAGGAGCTATATACATGCTTCCCGTGTTGGTGAGACTATGACAAATGACTGGTCATTAGGAAGGCAGAAAGGTAGGACAGAAGAGAATGGTTGTGAGATACAGCCCAAGCAAAGCAGTGTCCTCCATGGGCCTCTGTTATGCCCGTGTGATGTGACTGGGTCTTGTTGCATTTGTTGATGTCGTTCCTTGCTCAAAGATGCTGTAAATCTGAGCGTAAGGTGGAAGGCTCCCCGGTGGTGGGTGAAAGGGGAAATCGAGGAACTGGAAGAAGAAGGTAGGCGTTCGTGCTCCAGCAACTCACTGAAGCTCCTCCACTTTCCTTCAGGTGGGGAAGAAGTGCCTAGCTGTGTACCAGCCAGCAGCACCCATGAACTTCACCCTTGCAGGCTGCGTCAGTACGCGCTCCTACAGACCCAAGTACTGTGGGGTCTGCACGGACAACAGGTGCTGCATCCCCTACAAGTCGAAGACCATCGACGTTTCCTTCCAGTGTCCGGATGGGCCCGGCTTCTCCCGCCGGGTCCTTTGGATTAACGCCTGCTTCTGCAACCTGAGCTGTAGGAATCCCAATGACATCTTTGCAGACTTGGAAACCTACCCTGACTTCTCAGAAATTGCCAATTAGGCAGGCACAGTTCGTGGGTCTTGGGGTCTAGCCTGGTGCCTGTCAAGCAGCCAACTCTCGGCGGCCAACAACCTGTCACCATTGAGCCTTACGTTGTCCGTCTCCCATTCACTCCCAGTTCCCCTGATGGGGACCCCTACCCTCCTTCCTGTCTCTAATCACTCACATGACCCATGAAGCTGCTCTCTGGGCCCAGACAATGGGTCTCTTCCCTGGCAGCATCTGGCATCCACTCCAAAGAAAATGCCTGTCTCTAACTGTTCTGGACAAGACTCAAGCCCAATCCAACCTGTCCAAGTCCCAAGGAATGGAAGCAGCTAGACATCCAGTATCACAAACGTTCTCTTTAGATGCCAAACCGCAAGACGCTTTGGGTCCATTCAGAAGAATGAATGGGACTCGGAAGGATGGAATAATAATCTGTTATTTGGAGCCTGCCTGGTAACACACTCATAGGCAGTTCTGACCTCGGCACACCAAAGCTGTCTCTGATGCCAAAGATTCGTGCACCCGAGGCCACCAACCATTATTCAAGTGAAGCAAATAGTTGTTTGGTTTTGACTTTTAATGGAAAGTTAAATCCATTAACTTGAACATTGTTGAGTTAGTGTCTCTTCACCCCTGCACTGTGAAGGATGCAGATTGGGTTCATCCCAGTGAGAAATGCAATTTGATAAACATTCTTATTGATGGGAAAAGCCCCCAGTTAATATGCCTGGAACAGGGCAAGATCAACTGGTTTCAGAAGGAACAATTGACCCTGGCAATGAGTCTGCAGCTGACCGACAAGGCTTCAGGTGGTTGGCCAGGCTCTTTTTAAAATCCTCCCCCTCCCCCTGCTCGGGCTTATGGGAATTGGTGGCACCCTGGGATTGGCCTGCCTGGTCCCTGAGAGTGGTGCCCTGGGACCTTCCTATACTGGCGGGAGCCTTGGAAGACCCAGTTGCAGACCAGGCCAGACCCACCTGAAATGACCAAGACAGGTTCAGGTGAGGTATGGGTCAACCCCACAAGTGGGTCCTCCCTGCATCATCCTGGGGTGTCCTCTAGAACTGGGGGCCACAAGACCCCAAGGGTCCCCACACCCAAGGCACCTCTCTTTCTGCCTCAGCAACCCATTTCACAGCCTTTGATTCTACTGACCAAAGTGGCCAGTTTTCTGGTGTGAAGTCAGAGGTTTACCAGTTGTTTAGAGACAAAAATATACTTCAGAGGAACTAAAAGCCAAAGGGGTTGAAGTTAGAAGCAAAAGAAGGTTGTTATTAATGGCAATGAGGCTATTATTTATTTTATAAATATAAATGTACTGTTGTAATTCTTTTCATTAGTATCTTTCATGTACCAGACATTGTTCTCAGTGCTTTACATACACGAGCTCATGGAATCTTCACGACAACGTTCAGAAGTTCCCATGGCTATTTCTGTTCTTACAAATGTGAAAACTGAAGCTTAGAATAGTAAGAAAACTTGAACAAAGTCACCCAGCTGGTGAGTGGGGAATCTGGGATTCAAGTCCAAGTTGGACTGACTTCATAACCCATATTTTCCCACTTTTTCTTAGCACTTCCAAATGTGTCAGAAAATGGGGACATACTGTAATAAGTGGCTCCTTGCTGTCATCTTTCTCATTATTGTCTTTCTAACTCCTTTCCCAATAGAAGAGAGTATCTGCTTTTCTGATAATGTAGGTACCTAAGAATCAAAAAAATATATGTGCTAACAAAAATCCATGCATTCCTCCAGAGATCACCTGCTCTGTCAAATCAGAACGAACTCTTATCATGCAGGTAGAAGATGATTCTGTTGACTTAGTGCTGCATATTGACTGTTGCATGGCTGTTCCCGAGGGAATTTTGTGCAGCATGCAGACAGCCTCCTAAACTGAAAAAAAGGACTGGGAATATGTCCTCCTTACTGTTACCTCCCAAAGGCCTAGACCCATGCAAGGTATACAGTGGTGCTCATATATACTCAATGAATAAAGAAAACTGTGTATGTGTTCTTACTTTTATTCAGAAACCCTCTTCTTCCAAAGTTAGGTGAACATCTAATTTTATCAGCCAAAATTTTATATTAAGTACCATACAAAGAGACATTTAATCGTTTAGAGAAACACGTGTATATATGTACAAGAATTCTTGTGTAAAGAGAATTTACCCCATGAATGCTCCCTCCTGTATGTCTATGTGGATCATGTCAGATTTTCTTAGAGTCAGAACATCCGCTATCTACAAATTACAAGTTAGATAACAGCTCACTCCACTTAAAATTCAGAAGAAACCCAATAGCCAGTTCTTACTCAAATTGCATCTCAGTTTGGGAAACCGAGTCCAGCCTCCAAGATCATGGAATGCCTGGTTGAAAGAATCGGAGATTGTTCTGTCAATGAGTGGAACAAGGTGGCCAGCGTGACCCAGTGACGACTAGTTTTGAGAAACAAATCCGTCTTACTCAGGGCCCAGAAGGCAAGACACAGATCTGTGGGTTGAGCTCATAGGAAAGGAGGCTTGGGTCAGTGAAATGAAACCCTTTTCGGCCATCAGCATGGTTCT